AACTGGCACCGAACCAGCGGACGGGCTCTTGTTCACGCAAGCCGTTACCGGGCTCATATGTTGGCGGGCCATCCCGACCCGGACCACCCGAATTGACACCTCTAGGAAAATCCACGTTTAAGAAAAGAACAATGCTCTTTTTTCAAAAAATATTATTTTCTATTTGGAAGTACCCAAACGGCGTCGCAAGCGTTTATCTGTTTCTAGTCGCAGGCGTTTATTATATTAAAAAATAATAATATAAACAAATCTCACAACAAATTTAACTATTATAAAATATCTGTTGTTTCCAGGTAAATTCGATAAAAGCTAAGTCTCGTCCATCTCTCTGAAACTTGGAGGACGGCCAACAGAGGATCAGTAAATATAAAGATTCTTAAAAAGATAAAAAAACTTCAGGCTCCGCCTACCGCTATGGGTTCCTTCAAACCAGTTTCAATTGCGGCTAATATCTTGAATATCCTCTGCTGGTCCTTCCTCCTCCTCTTTTCCTGATTGAATATCAGAGACACGTGCTTCAAGCTCCGAGCACAAATGTTGCAGCTGCTGTATTTGTTCAGCAAACTCGAAAGCTTCATGTCTTGATTTCTCCAAGTCTTCCCGAGACTCGGCATAAGCACGTCTCAATCCATTCATTTCAACGTCTTTTCTCGCAAGCAAGTATTCCAGGGTTCGAAGGTTTTTTTCGTTATCTTCGATCTCTAAACCCATCAAGGATATTCTCACTCTCGAGAGTTTTAGGGATTCCAGTATTTCTTCATCTTTCTTCTTCACATGTTCAGCCTTATCAACTTCGGCTTCAAGTCTTTGAACATAAATTACTGCATGTTTCAATTTGTTAGCTAATTTCTCATTCTCCTCTCTTTCTTTCTGTAGTTCTTCCTGCAAAGAAGCTATGGCTGCTGTATACTGGGCACCAAGGACAGCAATGCAGAAAGTTCCAAGTGGGTTCAGAGATTGCTGGGGAACCTCTGCCTTTAGTGATGAAACAAACTCACTGACGACTGCAGAAATGGAAATGTTGGGTTGTTTTGGGTTTTCTTTTCGATCTCCTTGTTGCATGCAGGCCATTGCTGTTTTGACGTGTGTGTTTCTTTTTGAAGATAACACCAAAGGGGAATGGTGGAGGGGGTTTGGGAAATAGCAAGAGATGATACCCATTGCTAAGCTTTGAAGATTGAGAGGAAGTAATTGAATTTGAAGATAGAAGAGAGTAAGTAACAAACAAATATATAGGAGTAGCTGCAGGCTATGAGATTTGCGCAGAAAAGTGGAAAGAAATGCCATGCACCAACACAGTAGTATCTGCAGTGATCTTAATGATGATGATGGTTTGGAGTGAAAGGACTAGATTGCCCTTGATAAAAGTCAATTTCAACATACAAATGAGAATGCTAATTAATGCAAAAACGATTTTTATTTGCTGTGCAAAGCTGGGAAAACTTGGTATGGTATAATGGCTACGTAGGTGGCGGAGAGTTTCCCAAACCCAATTTTTAATTAAAATAATTTTACTTTTAATAGTCTATCATTTTAACATAATTTCAAAATATTAGAAGTTGAATTTAATACTTCAAATTATTTTTACTAATTTTAATTTTTTTTATTAACTTGAGTGAGTAATAATTTCGTTCAATTAATAAGGAAATAATTTAATCGTTTATTTTGATATTAATCATTATAATGTAAATTTGGAATTACATAAAACATGTAAATTAAAAATTAAATCGAAGTAGCTTAACCACCAGAGGGACACGTGTAGCCATCTTATAGTTGCTAAGTAAAGTGATGATCGTACACTAAATTAGGCTTTCTTACATATATTTTTATTTTTTTGTTGATGAAAAGATGAGTGTATTCAGCAATATGTTTCTTCTTACCATACATATGTTGATGAAATTATATATATAATTAAAATACACACTTCTCTCATTTAGACACACACACATTGTCAAATATTATGTTAGACGATTATTATTGTATTCCAATAATTATAAGTACCTAAAAGGAAAATTGTTCCAAACCTTTTAAAATTGATGCGAATGGTCTCAAATCTTTTCATTTTCGGTATAAATGGTCCTTTTGAATGGACCGTTAGTTTGGCCCTTATTTGATCTTTATTATTTTCAAAATATATTTTTCTTTTCAATAAAATAATATTACGTGCAAATCCAAACTTTTTTATTTTTATTTTTTAACCACACTTTTTTCATCAATCAACTATTTCAAAATGTATTTTTTTAGAAAATAATGGTGTTTAAACATGCTATGTATATGTAGTCACAACTTTGACGAAAGTAGCAATCATATTCCTGAACAATATTTTTCTGTCTTAATTTTTTGGATACATTATCTGTTGGAAAATAAATCTATAAGTTATAATGTAAATGTAACACAGTCAAATATTAAATTTCTTGAGGTTTCCGAGCACTTATATTGAAGTACAACGTGGTAATGCATGTCGTCTTCCTCTTATATACCACTTCCACTTGCTTCCGCTCAATCAATCAAAACAACGAATCATCTCTCTCAATAAAATATCAAAATCCATTTAAGAGTTTTCCAAAATTAAATACAGAAATTAATGGAGCCAAATTATTTCAAAAAATAGTTTGGAACATAGTACGTACTATGTTTTACATGTTAAGCAAAGGTATATCCGAAGGCTCAACTCTATATGACGTTCAAACGTTGGAAGATTGCTGGAAAAGCCATTCAAAATCTCGTGTTCCACCCGCCACCACCAGCTCACCACTTGACCTACCAAATGAATTCGAATTCAGTTGCAGTAACAGCCCGGCCGCCTTACCCTAATTTCAAGCTTCCATTCCACCTCAACAAACGTAAGCACAACCAACGTGTTCTCTCCGTCATCGACAGCGATGGAAGAGGATTTTATGAATATGACTGCGGTGGAGAAGATATTGGAGGTGTTTTACAGCGTGGCGGCGTCACCAGCTTTTCTGGGATCTGAGAAGAGCCCTATTGTTAGCAGCTTATAAGGGTAACAGATTCTCCATTTCCATTGAGAAATGCTAATGAAGATAGATGAAGCTGCTGAGAAGTTCATAATGAAGTTCCACAGGCAAATTGAAATTGCAACCCGTCGTCGAGGATAGTAAAGTTCACCATTCATAAATGAATTGTGTTACAATGTGTCCAAGTATTCGAGCACATGAGCATGTAATGAAATTATAGTGATAATTACGATTAGAAATTAGTAAGTGATGTTTACAGCATTAATAATCGATGTTATACTATTTTGAGATTCGATCACACCATATCACGATTAAACTCAACTAGTCTCCAAACGAAACACTGGTCAGTCATTGATTCATCATCTATCTGGAACTCAATTCATTTGTCGTGCATCTACAGTAATAGTTTATCTTATACTATTTTGAGATTCGATCACACTATTTCACGTTATGTGCATGTTACATTATTAAAGAAACGAGCAAATTGTCTTAAGGTTTGTATTTTTCCTACTATATTATAATTAATATAATANTTTGTGTAATAAAATTAATAGCATATCATAATAAAATGAACGTACATTTTTGCGACTAAAATCTCATTCAAAATGCCCAGTCGCACAAATATATAAATGAACAAGGCAACATTTTGAAATCCCAGTCAACCTTAGCGACCAAGTATAACTGAATCACCCAGGCATATT